TACATGACCCCTCAGCCCAATTCGGCTAAAACTGGTGGCCAGCAATTCGATGAGATGTACAACAACCTGAGAAACTCGAACATCAATGTCCAATCCGTATGGATTCAGGTAATCATGACTATCTATTGCCGAATATCGGGCAAAAGGGATAAGCCATACAAATTTGAAGAGCTTGAAATAAAGCCACCTGTTTGTAAGAGCTCTAGCTTGTGCATGTTGGCAAAATATGAATTGTTCAGTGCAAGGATGATTTCAGGTGACGTCTCCTACCAACTGGTACTTGACGAGCTCCCTCAACATCAACTTCCTCAACAGCATCCTTACACGAGCCGGGGTAAGTGCAGCAAAACGGAAAAGAGAAAACGGTTTTTCTCAAAACAGTTACGATAGCGGGGTCTAATTTCAGCAATATGGCCTTACCATCGGTATTTACACTAACATCAACGAATGGAATCAGATCACCGGTTCGGCCACTATCAGTAACGCCATGCTTTGGTGGGTGTCTTTGCAATCTGAAGTGATTGCAATGAAATTTTCATGAGACTGAGCAAAAGAGTTTGTTTATTTTTCTCCTATACTTAGTAAACATCGTATTCATATGGAATATCTCATGTTAGACTAATTTGCTCGATCACACTTACGCGGTTTTGGCAAAATTTACTGTTTTCTTTTGTAGGTACTGGAACACGTACGGCAGCGGAGTGTCAAATGAAACGCCATCCAACTTCAACGATTTCATCCCATTTGGCGGGTGGACATACCCTTCAATTAAGCAGTTTGGTCAAGTGGAATCCGTCTGTGGAATAACTGTGAACAGGTGAGAATATAAGATTTTCAGCAGGAGAAGATTCAGATTCTACAGTAGAAGGGGCCTCCGAGCCTCCCTGACCAAACTGCAGACAGGCTAGTTGGTGGCTACCTCCCCATGTGGTTACCCCCATTTGGCATGAAAAACTAACGGCCACGGTGACCTTGCTTCGCATGATATCTGATTATTTCATAGATTATACAAGCCTAACAGGATCTCATGAGGGCAGGGTGGTGTACTGCCCATTCCTAGCTAAATCTGGTTGTAAGCTTGCCCTTCAACAGCGGTGATGGTCCCCAAGAGTTTTGCTATAAATGACG